CAGGAGGGGAAGACCCTCTATGAGGTGGATTGATTCAGTGACTGGGGTAATTGGGATGGGTGTATTGGAGACAATGTGATTGGCACAGGATAGAGCAGGGTTTAGGGCTGTTGCACAAAGAGTTCCTGTGAGTCACAAGTGACTCGACGGTACATAACAACAGCAACAACAACAACATTTGACATATTACTATATATGATAAAGGGCTACCAAAGATTAAAAAAAGGCTACTTATGAACACAATTTTAAAATATATTCTATCTGACATACTAGCTATCTGATAAAGGGCTAACAAAGATTGACAAAAGACTACCCAGATTATTGAATGGTACACAGCAAACAATACTGACCGCCTTCAAGTAGCTTTCTAGTTGCAATTGAACCTTCATTGAGTTTTTAAGGCTTTAAATTTTTTTCCCCCCTGGAGCTGCTGATGCATTTGAACCACCAGAGATTTGCAGTGCAATTGGGACTATGCCAGTATACCCTTTTATTTGTGGTGCTCCTCACCATAGTATAAAGGGTACCCTCAGTACATTCATGTGTGTCTTTTTCATTCTCAGTAAATTCTTGCAAGCATAGTAAAAGAAAATGTTAGCTATTAATTAGTTAAACTTTGCTTCCCAGATGAGGCTAGAACAATGCTTTGATGGATTCCAAAAGCCAAAGGATAATAAAAAAAATAAAAGGACCACCATTTTTATTTAAGAATTTTCGATTTGTTATTTTAGTTGGTAATCTGAAACATCTCTTTTTTGGGAGTAATGAGTTATATCTGAAATCAATGTTAGCATAAATTATTGGAAACATCAAGAAAATGCATGATTTAAAGGCTGATTTTTTTAATACCATGCTATGTTATGCAGTAATGTAATACTGAGTAGAAACCAACCCATATCTGACCCTCCAGCAAGTTTTCAGAGCCAGTAAATCGCGTAGGAGAAGTTTGTCCATCTTTCTTCCTTGGAGTAGCTGATAGATTTGAATTGGGTGACTTGAGTTGGCAGCAAAACTCCTTATATTAAACCATCAGAACCCCATTAATGCCGTATTGCTTCACTTAAGTTGAAGGAGTTTGGAGAAAATTATTTCATTGGAACATTTGACACAAAGAATGAATATGAGCTATTCTATTAGGCGAAACCAAACCCACTTCCACCAAGTTGATTCTTTAACCCTTTAGAAGAGGAGACTGCTTTAGCTTTCTCCTTTTGAGCAACTGGTGGATTCAGACTGCCAGCCTCTTGATTAATAGCCTAACAAAACTTAGTACGCTACCAGGCTTCTTAGAAATAATATCAGTGACTTATTTGAGAGATAGCATATAGACAATATAAAGATACTGGTTAAAGATACTGTCAAATGGTAAAGATACCATTTGAGAGATAACAGACAGTATAAAGTATATGATGTGTTAATAAGTGAAAAGCTTGATATTTTTAAACCTTTCTGTACATTTTGTAGCTAGTAATCATCACTCTTAAGGTACTTTTAGTAAGTCAACTAATACTTTATGTACCTTTTTGTGTCTGGCTTCTTTTCATTCAATAGAATTGTGAAATTTATTCATGTTCACTATTTTTTATCAATATATAGTATTTCATTGTGTAAATGTACTAGTAATATACATTCCCTATTGATGAACATTTGAGGTACTTCCACTTCAGGGAGGAATTTTGAGTAAAGCTATTACTATAGAAAGCTGGACAATGATTAGGGATGGTAGAAGGAGAATTGATTACTTTGAGCTGTGGTGCAGGAAAAGAGTATTGAATAATAAACCATGAACTGCTAGGAGAACAAACAGGTTCAACCTGGAGAGGGTGAAATCAGGGTGCTTCTTGGTGGCAAGGATTCTGAAGATCTCTCTGACATACTTTGGACATGTTGCAAGGTGTGATCAGTCCTTGGAGAGAGTCACCATGCTTGGGAGACAGAGCAAGAGAGGAAGACGCTCAATGATATGGATTGACTCAGTGACTAGGGTCATGGAGGTAGGTGTATCAGAGACAATAGTGTTGACTCAGGATAGACTGGGTTTCAGAGTTGTTGTACATAGGGTCGCTATGAGTCGCCTGAGCAGCATATAACAATAACATTATTAGGTATCCTCTCATTTCTTTTAAATACTGGTTGTTGTTATTATTAATATTATGTACCATCGAGTCAAGGACTGCAGTCTTCAATATGGATTGAAGCTCAATATCAAGAAAACAAAGATTCTCACCACTGGGCCAATTGGCAGCATCAGTATGGATGGTGAAGAGATTGAGATAGTTAACAGTTTTAGTTTGCTTGGCTCCACGGTCAACACTCTTGGTAACAGCATCCAGGAAATCAGGAGATGAATTGCATTGGGAAAGTCAGCTGTGAAGGAACTCTCAAGAGTACTGAAGTGCAACGACATCAGGCTGGAGACTAAGGTGCGCCTGATCCAGGCTATAGTCTTTACAGTTACGTGCTGTGCATCGGAGAGTTGGACGGTGAATAGGGATGATAGAGAATTGATGCCTTTGAGTTGTGGTGCTGGAGAACTGCTAGGAGAACAAACAGGTTTGTGCTGGAGAGGGTGAAGCCAGAATGTTCCCTGGAGTCAAGGATTCTGAAGCTTCGTCTGACATACTTTGGGCATGTTGCAAGGAGGGACTGGTCCTTGGAGAGGGACATCATGTTTGGGAGAGTGGAGGGATGGCGCAGGAATAGGAAGACCCTCGGTGAGATGGATTGATTCTGTGAGTGGAGTGGTGGGAATGAATGTGTTTGAGACAGTGAGAATGGCACAGGATAGACCTGCGTTTAGGGCTCTTGTACATAGGGTCGCTTTGAGTCGCAAACGACCTGATGGCACATAACAACAACAACAACAACAACAACCATCAAGTCAGGACCAACCCATAGTTTACTCTCCAGTGAGTTTTAAGAGGCAGCAAATCGTATAGGAGGAGATTGCCCTCCCATCCTTCTCCCTTGGAACTGCTCTTAGGTTCAAACTCTGCCTCTGAACCACTTTGGGTTGGCAGCACAGCTCTTCACTTTAGGCCACCAGAGATCCCTTTTATATACTTAGGAGAGGTATTAATCCAGTGTTTTTAGTTTGGATTTTTTTTCCTGTTTAAGAGGCTTAGAGAGAAAGAGTTGTGGTAGCACAGTTAAGTGCTTGGATAATCCAGGGCTCAAGTTTGATCCCACCAGCTGCTCTATGGTAGAAAGATGTAACATTCTGCTTCTGTAAAAACTTCCAGATTGGAAACCCTATAGGGTAATTCTACTCTGTCCTGTGAGGTTATTATGAGTTGAATGAATTTGGCTCATTGACAACAAGTTTGGTTTATAATTTGATTTCTTAAAAGATTATTCCACTTTATGCTCCAGTCTGTAATGTATAAGGACTTTGGACAGCCCTGTAAAGATTTACAGTTTAGCGATCCTATTGGGCAGCTCTGCCCTGTCCTCCAGGGTCCCTCTAAGTTTAATCAATTTGCTGCTTGAGTGACACAATGGTAAAATGCTCACCTAAGCAAAAGGTCCAAGATTCAAACATACCCGCTGCCCCGCAGGATGAAGATGTGGCAGGTATTTTTCTAGATATTAAAACCTTGGAAACCCTGTGGGGCAGTTCTGGGCTGTCCTGCAGGTTCTCTATGAGTTGGAATTGCCTAAAGGGTAATGATTTTTGTTGGTTTCAGTAATACATGAGACTTGCAGTCATTCATCAACATAGCAGTATTTTCATTCTTTTTTTTGTCATTTTGATATATTTTTCTTTTTAATGTTGCTTGTCTATGTATGTATCATATAAGAGAGGCAACTTAGATGCAAAGAGGTTGTATGAAAGGTTATTCATACTATTGTGTTGTGTGTTTTCATAGTCCCATGTGTGAATTGAGAACGAGAATCTTGAATTTATGTGCAGAGATGAGCTGCTACCATTTTTATGATCTTTTCCATAACATTTCATGTGGTCATTAAGCATGAATTCAGGAACCAAGCTGCTTTGGGTATGAAATCCTAACTATACTGCTATATCATCAGGTGTGCATCAGTTTACTTGTCTGCAAAACAGTAGTATTACCTACCTGTAGAGTTATTAAAGGACATGAAAAGACTTGTTATGTATATACTAGAAAAATGAGTAGGGCAGAATAAGTGCTATGTAAAGATTATTATACCAGTAAATTGCTTGTACTAAAACATTCGTGAGTTCTCATAAATGAGGAGATTTGGAAAGAAATTATTTATCTTTGTAATAAGTAATTGTTCAATGTTGGAATGTTTATGTTACGGAGATACAGGTTTAATCCTGAGTATTAATGTGCTAAAAGCAAACCATGTCTAAAAAGAGTGTTGAGTAGCATGAGGGCAGTGATAACTGACCTCCACTAACTGCAGAAGGAGGAATAGTTAGTTCCCAGGCACAAGACTTTATTTCTATAAGGCCACATGTGTGCTTGTGCTCCCACACCTATTTCTACCAACTCTAACAGCAATTTTCCTTCCCAGTACTCTCCAAGCTTTACTACTGGGTGTACTAATCCATTGTAATGGCCACACAGAACCATACCAATTTGGGGAGCTCTATTAGGGAAATTAACAGATTGTAATTGCACACTCCTTCAGTCAAGATAGCCTCTCAAGTCTACTGACAGGCCCTGTGACCTTCAGCTTCACAGCTTTAGGTCAAGTGTTTTAAAGCTCTTTTTGGTCTGTTAAGTATGGCATCTCTCCCCCAAGTCCTCCAGCAAATTTGAAAGGAAGACCATTAGTTCTGGCTCCACCTCCAGTGGGCAGCAATCTCTGGTTAGATCTGGATCTGCCTTGCTTTGATCTTTGCTTCTCCTCTCTCTATTGCTGCTGCAGTGTCTTTAGCTCTTGTAGGAATCTCTGTGAACAGGCTACACACATCTTATATATTCTACTTTTTCCTGGTAGTGGAATCGCCATCTCCTGCTTCTAAATCTGCTCAGTTTAAGCCTGGTGAGATAACAGCACTAACCAATCATAATTAGTAGTCTACATATTTTGTTTGCCTTTTCACACTTAGCCATGTAGAAAAAGTCAAAGCCAGTGGGCTAGGAAAGCCGTTTTGAAAAACCATCCTACCCCACAGCATCTTACTATTTTAGTTTTATACATAAACAAACTCTAGTGGCCTACTGAGTAAAGAGTTGTGCTGCTCATTCAAAGGCAGGTGGTTTGAATGTACCAACTACTTCATGGGAGAAAGATGGGTAGTTTCCCCACTTGCACTTTGCAGCCTCTGAAAGCTCACTGCGGCATCAGTGACTAGGATCTAGCAATGACAGAGAAAGACATAAGCAAACAGACAATGCTCTGAAGATTGTCTATCGAAACATCTGTCAATAGTCATATTTCAACTCTGACCTTATTCTGTTCAATTTTAGAAACTTTTAACTTAGTAATAGTATTCAAGCACATATTCCTAAACACAGATAATCTGAAGTTCTTATCAGCAAAACTTTAGAAGAAAAACTGTATCTAAGTGAGAGAATGAGAGACCACTTCAGAGAAAAACTGTTACCTGTCTGCAAGTTTGTCATATTGTGGTTGGTTGCTTTGCTGCCAGAGGCTATGTCACTGGTATTTCAAATACCAGTAGTGTCAGCCATGCTGGGCAAGTTCCAATAAAGCTTCTGGACTGAGACCTACTGGGAAGAAGAGCCTTGCCATCTATTTCTGAAAATTGGCCAAAGCCTTTATGAATCACAATAGAATATTGTAGTTCAAAATAGTACTGGAAGTGTTAGGGATAAGTTCATTATGAGTCAGGGCTGTTTTTACTGCAGCTGTCAATAACAGGAAAGAAAAGAGTTTTAAAATGAGATACACAGACCTAATGCTTAGAGTATATTTAGCCTAATAATAAAGTAACTTAAGATTTCCCAGTCTTTATAGAAAGATATGATTAGTATCAAATACTGTTTTACAGCATTTTGAATATTATTTTCTGGCAACTAGTTTTGGCTTCCAAACTCCACTCAGTCTCGTGTGTGTGTGTGTGTGTGTGTGTGTGTGTGTGTATGTGATTTATATGGTTATAGGCAAGGAGTTAAAATGAAATAACTAAAAATAAAGAAAATAAAGTCTCTTAATTCTTGGCTATTTTTTTTTTTAATAAATTGAACTTCCTTCTCTGTTGTCTTTGACTTTGGGGCACAGCTTCTATCTTGGCAAGAAGCAAAAAGAATGATCCAGTACTTACCCTTTGAGGTTAGCCTTCCCCTTTTAACCTCCCAGTGGTAGGTGGAATGAGTATACTGGGATTACTTTGTTCAGTTACAATATTGGTAGTAAAGTCCCCGAGGGGCTCATGCTGAATACTAGATAAAAATAACCTCTAGTGACAGGCTTTCAGAAAGGTTGCAGCTTTGAAAACCCTATAAGGCAATTAATGTTGTGCATACATGAGGTTGTCATGAGTCAGAATCACTAACAGCCAGCAACAGCAAGTGTTTAGACTAATGGTCCAAACCTTCATGGCATCTTTGGTTTAGTGAGGAGATTAAATATTACTAGATAATTAAAAGTCGGTGAACTTCTAAAATAAACCTATAGTGTAAGCAGCAAGTCTAGCCAAGTTTTGGGGAAAGATTTACCATATTTTATGATAATGATGTGTGTATTATACTTTTTTTGCAAACTTTTCAACCCCATACAGTCTTCGTTTCCCATGCATGCTATGTGTACATTTTTTACGTGAACAAATTATATGCAAAAAATAAGGTATTTGGGGAAAGCTACATGGAGGAAATTTATTTGAGGACCAATGAAGAAGGGATTAGATTTTTCTGCCAGAGAGAAATGTGTGAAATTTCTTAGTTGTCAAGGAGATTGGCACTGACACTTTGGCAGAACTGAGATTTCTGTTTTCTTTTTAAAATGGAGATGACATGAAAATTGGTGATTCTTAACTTACACATCTCTAAATGCTGTCTTATAGGTAATTTCTGGACAGAAGCTCACACGGTTGTTTACATCAAATCAGATATTACCAAGTGAATGCTTAAGTTCCCTTGTAGAGCTACTTGAAGATCCGAACATAAGTGCTTCACTAATTTTAAGTGTTATCAGTTTGCTGTCTCAATTAGGTAATTTTTTCCTCTTGTTTTCAAAGATAGATGATTTGTTGTTTTTTAAGAACAAATTTAGTTAAAAAATCTTAGCGAATATCTTACATTCAAAAAACTTCTTTCATTATAGGGATTATAGGTGAAACATTGTGAATCTTTTGAAAGAATATTTTATGTAACTTCCTTTTATACATATTAGACCAACTTATCATAAGCACATCAAAGATTCTGTGTTCTGTAGAAAAGAATGCAATTTGGGAATGATTTACTTTTAAATTTTAAATAAATATGTATGTAATTCTACTGTTGAGTACACCTAGAAAAGTCTTAAGTGATCATCAGAGAACCATCCTTTATTGACTGTATTGACCTTAGAACTGATGTTGCTCTTTCTATATTTTTCCATTATTGTTACTTTAAAAAATTTTTATTTAAAAATCACTTCCCCCCTTCCATATCCTCCTCTAATTTGTGTTTTACAGGAGGTTAGGTTGTTTGTTCTTTGTGAATTTTTAACATAACTACTGAACTCAAAATCCACTGATGTTGAATTGATTCCAAATTTTAGCAACTCTGAAGACAGAATAGAACTGCCCCAAAGGATTACCGAGGCTGTAAATTTTTATGGAATTTCTTATGGAAACTGCCTTGTTTTTTGACCTGTAGAACAGCTGATAGGTTCCAACTGCTGACCTTTTAGTTCACAGCAAAATTCTTTAATTTCTGTATTAAACAGGGCTCCAAAGTTACTGTATTTTTTTTTTAAATTTTTTTATTTCATTATTTTTTTGTGTGTGTATGTACCGTCAAATCAGATCTGACTGGTATAGGAGGAGATTGTTCCTCCTTTTCCAGCAGAGCATCTGGTGGATTTGAACTGTGTACCTCTGGGATTGCAGTGCAGCTTCTTGCCACTAGGCCACCAGAGCGCGCCCAAAGTTACTGTATTCTTAAGTAAAATTTTAGTGATCCAGAAATATTAACGGATTATGGCTGTCTTGTAAAACTTCCTACAATGATAGAATTATTCTCTTTTCTTCCAGTACAGTAGCCACTAGCCACATGATTGAGTTCAGGTGGTGCTGTGCTTAAGGCACTAGATTGCTAAAGCCCCCCAGTTCCTCTGCAGGAGGAAGATGGGCCACATGCTTCTCTAAAGATGTTCATCTTTGGAGGCCCTTGCAGGTAGAGCCACATGTTTGTTATCACTTGAAACAGGTAGGACTAAAGAATAGAATCTTTTCTTTTAGATCATCTAAATTTAATAGCCCCTGGCTATTAAATGAAACAGTACAGTTATAAGAAATAAAGACTATGAGGTTTTAACCAGCAACAACAAACAGCCTCATCATTTCACTTTTGGAGAGAATAAAATTTGATGATTTGATGTTTGTTTTTCCAGATTTTTTTTTATGCTATAACTAGTTTAGATCTCTTGAGTGTGGCTTTAAACAAAAATGTTATTATGAGGCAACAGATGATTTAGAGTCTATTGAACAACTAACTACAGATCAGTGGTTTGAGTCCACCAAATGCTCTGTAGAAGAAAGATGCGCAGTATCCTTTCATAAAGATTTACAGCATTGGAAACCTGATGGAGAGTCACTGTGAACTGTAATTGACTCAATGGCAGTGTGGTTTGTTTTGTTTTTACATATGTTCACATGTATTTTCATGTCAGTAACAACAACATCCTCTAATGGTGAACACTCATGTTCTTTTTGAGGGTTGTTTGTTTCAGGGTGTTTGTTTAATTATTAGAATTGATAGTGCAGTGAACTTTTTAAACTGTATTTTGTTAAAATATTAATATATTTCTCTTGAGTAAATTATTAGTAAAATTTCTGGTTCATCAATTAACAGCTGTAACTAAATTTCATCCCCAAAAGTCTCTGCCAGTTCTTAACACATAACAACAGGTTATCTGAGAATGACCGTTACTTTTTACATTTAAATATATTAGTAATTTATTGTATCGTTTCTACATATATGTAAAGCAAGTTTTATTCCTTGAGATTGATCTATTCTATTTAGGGAAATCCTGTGTAAATTGGAAAAAACCCCACATATCCTCTTGCCTTTTTCCAGCTCACAAAATTTCTGAGATTAAACTTCTGAATTAGAAGGTGTCAGGAAATAAAATAGCCTTATCAAACTTTTATATATGATGTTATATTTAATATTACATTAAAAAGTACTTTTAACCAAATTAAATACCTGTCATATATGAAAATTATGTATTTTGTGCCATTTTGTTTTAACTTACAGCTTTAGACAATGAAACCAAAGATTGTCTTCAGAACACTTATAATCTGAATAGTGCGTTAGCAGGAGTGGTTTGTCGGAGCAGTGCTTGCCACAACGATTCTGTGTTTTTACAGGTACAGACAGCATACAGTACTATTATTACTTAACATTTAGTTTTCTCTTATTTTCAGATCAAAATTAATAAAACTTATAGTGTCTGTATGGAAAATGAATGTAAGCAGCATGGGGTGGGCATCTCTGACATCTGCTAACTCTGAAAAGGGGAACTGTTGCTGTAACAACATCCATAGTACTAAACCAATTCCTGTAAGGTCACACACAGTCTTCTGCACTCCTACACCTTTTGCTGTTAATTCTAACACCAGTCTTCCTGCTTTACAGGGTCTGAATTCTATTGCAGCGAACACCAGATCTCAAAGAACCATATTCACGGTTATGGGGTTTATTATTTTTAGAGAACTTAACTGGCTAGAATTCATATTGGCAGCAGGATATAATTTTTCAATCCAGACAGCGTCTAAGTGTACAGTTCTTCAGTCTAATCTTGTCACATCACATGTGTTCACTGCCCCTTTGACCTTCAGCTTCACAGTGTAGGTTGTGATGGTGGTGTTGGTGATATGTGCCATTGAATTGGAACCAACTCACAACTGACTCTCCCTCTGTCTCTCACGGAGTGACATGCCTTTTGTTTGGCAGGGCAACATTTTACTACTAGTCCACTAATGCTTCCTAGCTTAGGTTAGTGTTATAGAGTTCCCTTAGAGCAGCTTTCCTCAGTCCTCCAGCAAGTTTGGGTAAAAGGCCGCTGGCTCCGGCACTTGAGGCAGCACTCTCTGTTTCATGTGTTTCGATTCCCTGCTGAGGCTGCTGCTGCTGTCATGTAGATTCTGGTCTGACTGGCACAGGAATCTCAGGTCCTGAAAGACATGTGTTGTACTCTCCTTTCCCTCTTCTTGCTGGTAGTGAGATACCAACATAGGCTGCTAAATCTGTTCAGTTTAAATTGGATGGATACAAAATACTGATCAGTCCAGTAATGGTTACTTTATATATATTGTTTTTCCACTTAGGTGGTGAAAGTCAAAGTCCATAGCTAATAAAGTCATTTTGAACGATCAATTCTTGACACCAAAATATGCTGACATAATATTACTTGATTAGACTCACTTCTGCAGTTAGTAAGTTGTTTTTTTTAAAAAAAAATTCCAGTTTACAAAATTTGAATACATTGTTTTCAAGAACAAATTCTTTCAATTTCCCTCAACCTTCACCCATCAAATTGTACAACCCCATGATTAGTCCCTCCCTCCTCCTGCACATCCTCATCTCTATGCTTCCAACCTCTCCCACTCCTCTTGGATCCTTATAATCATTCTACAATAGCTGTTTTATACAATATTTATCCTTGTGTGACTGAGTTCACTCAGCATAATACTCTCCAGTCCCTCCCAAGGTAGGTAATAATTTACACAATCATTGCTCCTGCGTGCTGCATAGTATTCCATTGTGTGAATGTACCATAATTTCTCAATCCATTCGTTTGTGGTTGGACATTTGGGCTGTTTTCATGTTCTTGCAATGGTGAATAACGCTGCTATGAACATTCATGTACAAATCTCCATTTGTGCCTCAGTTCTCATTTTCTCAGGGTATATTCCAAGTAGTGGAATAGCTGGGTCCTATGGAATTTCTATGTTCAGCTTTTTGAGGAAGTGCCAAACTGCCTTCCAGTTAGTAAGTTTTAAGAACCAGTTGCATTTGTGTGTATAATTATTAACGTTTCGTAAAAGAGAAACTTATTCATACCTGGCTCCATTATTAAAGAAAAACAAATTCACCTTTTAGCTTTATGAATGACTTATAGTAAAGAAATATCTGTATTTTTAGATGTAAGCTATTTGTACTAAAATGTTAATATAAGGTAGTAACTAGTTTC